TCAATACATTCAGTTTTATTTATGTTATTACTCCTAAGCTCATCGATCTCTTTCCAACTTGAAATTGCAAGAATTTATAAAGAAACAAAGTATAAAATCACGAGCAATCGTTTTTTTCAACCTTCTATTAGATTATATTTCTTTAAAAATAATTTACAAAAAACTTTTTTAGTTAGAGAATTTACAAGTATCTCTCAAAACTATTTTTCTTACAAGAGAACCAAAACCCTTTTTATCTTTCGAAAACTCTAACTCTCAAGTTCTGATTTTCTAAAGAGACCATTGTCTTCGATTTATACATATAGATGATACAATTTCATTTTTCTAAGACAAAAAACATTTTCCCTTCTTCATATCTCTTGAATTCTTTTTCTTCGTGTTTTTTTTTTTCCTTCTCGCTTTTAGATGTTTCTAACATATTCTTTTTTTACTTTGCTTTATATTTTGCAGCTTCATCATGAAGACCATCATAAAATATTACATCTTCACGACCTACTTGCTCTCCTAGCAATCTTTAAAAAATACATTGAGATTTTCTAAAATGAAAAAGTTGGTTATTTTTTATTTTTATATCTGGCGATCAAGAAGTCATGATTTTAAATTAGTTTAAATTTTTCACGATATCTCCAATTATATTCAATGCAAGTTTTTTTTATCCTGGGAATTTTTACTTTAACTTACAAAACAAGTACTGTAATTTTTTAATACAAAAGTAAGAACTACAATCTACATATATCCTTATATATTTTATACAAATTGCCCAATAAATTTACCGTATTGAGAATTGGACAAAATATCAGCATTGAATAAGATTGGTGGATTTATATTTTTTTTTATAGATAATCTCATCAGGTTTAAGAGATACTTATATGGTTATGAGTTCCAGATTAACAAACAAATACTCCCTCAGTTTTTTAATATAGGATGTTTAAAGTTAATGCACAAAGTTTAAAAAAAAATTTTTATCAACTAAAATTATTAATTAAAACAATCCAATCAATTACAAAAAAGATTGTAAAAGATTATTGGTCACACAATTTTCAATAAAACTAAAAAGTATCTAGAAATATGAGAATATCTTATATTGTGAAACAAAACAAAAATTATAAAACATCCTATAATAAGAAACGGAGGGAATAATATATATTTTAGGAAAAAATGTTATATAGTATTAATATTATCATTCTTTTTTTACATTAAAAATAAGACTTGGTATAG